ACATTTGTACTGAGAATTGATTCATTTTTTTAAGAACGATACGTTATAGTACAATATATTAAACCACACTTACAGAAACAAAACATTCAAAGGTTAAGAGTACAAATGTTCACAATGAAAATGTACAAGTCAGTGATGTGCCTTCCTAGAAATTGTAACCTCATTTTTTTTTTTTTTCAAAATGCTATTTAAATATATTTTAAATAGAGTTTACTAATCTTTTTTTGTGGTGTATTTTAAATTTGAAGGACAATTAAAATATTAGGAATAACTTAAACCAAAAAGATGAACAATGATAAATATTAACTTCCGATCAGAACAAGGTACCAATTTAGATAAAAAATAAAAGTGAACTCAGTGATGAATAGAGCTAATTAACTATATTATATTCACTTTCTTACTTGTAAAGATTATAATACATTGTTTAGTCACTTGGGTGCCCTTGCTGCTGGCGATATTTCAGCTGTAATCCAAATAATATATCATGAGGTTAGGGCACAGTAGGAGCTTTAGGGTAGTCCTAATTTTATATACAAGGTTAACATTGGAAAATAATCGCTAAAATAAAAATATTATAACGAAAAATAATAAAAATAGATATATTAAGCATTCTAACCAATATAGTTAATGAAAGTAGCACTAAAGATAGAATAGAGTATACCTTATTAACGGAATAAGTTCTTAGCTTCAAGTATTGTCATAGCTTTAATGTTTACTGAATAATCAGTATAACCGTGTACAAGCAAAACTTTACATAATGCTCTGTGCTAGTAGTTTATGACCAATAAAGACCATTAAATGGTTCCAACATTGTAGCATTAGAGTAATCTGACATGTGAGATAAATTACTACGATGCCAAGTTATTTTTTAGCAATAGAGTCGAGTAGCAAGACAGTACAGATAGTAAAGTAACAAAATTGATGTTTATAAAGATACAAAGTAATAAATAATAAAAAATAATACAGTTTCATCCAAATCGTACAAAAAATAGCTAGAGTACTGGTATTCTAATTGAAATATAACCAAGTTAATATACTAAACATACTATGATGTATTACAAAAAATATTAACACTAGGAAGATATTGCTCTAGAAGGTGATTTATTCAACAACGTTTTATTTCGAGAGTAAGCTCTTCATCAGGTGATATTTTAAACAGTCGCTATGAGATGGGTCTATTTCAACTGATCCCACTTTAACTAACCCCTGTCGCTTAACAAAACACAGGAAGAAATAAATAAAGTTAACTCTTCTGTAACAGCCGAAAAGTAGATGCAATAAGGTTCATAAAAAATGAATAACAATAAAAATACTTTAAAATGTTGTGTCGATTTGTTTTTTAATTATCGTGCGAAACTATATGAGAGCTATTTTCGATAGCCGTTCCTAATTTTTAAAGTGATAGACAATAGGAAAGGCAGTTACTCAACACCACCCGCCAACCCTTGAGCTACTTTTTACCAATGAATATTGTAAGTGATCGTCACATTATAATGTTCTAACGACTGAAAGGACGACCATGTTTGGTATAGCAGGATAGTTCGACTGTAAACTGCAAGTCAAGCGCTCTAACCACAAGCCATATCAGATCAATTTAGAAATAGAAGTAACAATAATGATAAATATGCAAACTGAAGTTAAGAAAAAAACAACTAATATAGCTTAATTAATGACTCAATTTTATGATTTGATATACTCAGTCCAAACTATATAACTGATCCATATATATAAGATCTTAAACTAACAGTAGATGAATCTAATTGTAGTTAATATACTATAGTGACTCAATATTACCTTAAACAATGTATAATAAATTAAGTTGTAGACGTTTTAAAGTTTGTGCAGGTGATATTCTGTAAAATGTTTAAAACTCATAGCCGGTATGAAGAAGATTGTTGAATTTTCCGCAGAATGAAATGGATCCAGGTGTGAAACAACAACAACTAAAAACTAGAGGTACTCAGCTGGGTGAAATGGACCTGTTTTTGAAAAATAAAAAACTACGTGTAAGCATAAAATAACTACGATTTGAGTGTTAATGAATAAATGCTTTCTGACGGAACAATGGAACGCACGCGCATCCGAAAAAGTAGCTCAAATAAGTCCCGGTGCTAGTACCGCCTTAAAAAATGAGTTCCGGTACTCAGTACCGGTAGAATTTCACCCCTGAATGGATCTAATATTCAAAATATGGTCAGAGAAACCTCTTTAGCGAATAAGATTGCGAGCTGTGTCCACGAAATCTTGTAATATACTGGGTGTCCAAACAACAACAACAAAAAAAAACATAGATGATTTGTAGCTTAATTTTAGATACGCGACTGATTATTGAGCTGTCAAAGCTTGACAAGGTTGAGTTAATACTTCTGTTAATCTAAGCTTGTTTCGAATTTCAAGGACAGTATGTGGAACGCATCCTGAAAAAGTCGTTGAAATGCCTATGGTTCCAGGCTTTTCGGATACCCTGTAGAACAAACTTTATTGTATCTAACAAATTGTAAGTAGTAAACATTGCAACAAAAATATTTGGAATACTTATATTCGGAAATGAAAATGTTATAACTTGAAACATTTAAAAGTGTGTTTTATTGAAAACTTTAAACTTGATTAACGATATTAAAATGTTAATCCAGATAATGGACTTTGTTTTTAGTGAAAAGACTTTTTTCCCCCACAGTGATTTGTGGTGGATTAATTCGTTCGGTCGAACAAAACAAGACATTGATAATTAAATACAAGAATATCTTCAATATATCGACAGCATGACTAATGATTAAAGCTTTGTTATATAGTCTTCCTTAGTAAGATTTGGTAGATATTAAAATTCAAGTTTCGAATAAATATAGATTTGCAACTTGTGAGCTGAAGTAATCTCCCATAGGCAGTTCTTGTATTTGTTAAAAAAGCATGTTGGTTGAATCACATAAGTATGTAAAATATATCTAGCCTGAAATAATTCGTTTAATGTAAAATAACGGTAGTTTGCGAGTGACATAGCCACAGAAAAATCTGTGTTTACTATGCAAAGCTTTAATTTAACAGAATTATGAAAATAGCTTGAATTTATATTATGAGTAAGAAAATTGACTTGTTTTGGCATAATGAAAGATAGACTTTAATAGTTGTTACAGCCGATTAGTTTCACCATCAAGGATTGTGAATACATTGTGCCCCCAAATTTTTTTTTAAATTTTACATACAAAAAAAACGATGCAAACTTTAGTTAAGTAGAGTAAGATAATATAGCAAATATTACTTACCAATTCGTAGGATAATATATCAAATATTACCCATTAGTAAGATAATATAGCAAATATTACTTACTCATTAGTAAGGTAATACAGCAAATATTACTTACCCATTAGTAAGATAATATAGCAAATATTACTTACCCATTAGTAAGATTAAGTAATATTTGCTATATTATCTTACTAATGGGTAATATTTGCTATATTATCCTACGAATTGGTAAGTAATATTTGCTATATTATATTATCTTACTAATGGGTAAGTAATATTTGCTATATTATCTTACTAATGGGTAAGTAATATTTGCTGTATTATCTTAATAATGAGAGCAAATATTACTTACCCATTAGTAAGATAATATAGCAAATATTACCCATTAGTAAGATAATATAGTAAATATTACTTACCCATTTACGTAAACAAAGTTCTTCTCTTTCGCCATCTCCATAGCGTGGTCTTTGGACTGTAAACAACAGAAAAAGTGTATTGTGCAACTTCTGTTAAACAATTACTAACAAATAAAGGACAATTTTTGAGCATAAGAGTAGAAAGGCAGGGACTTGAGCACTCCCAACTAACCCCCTGTGCACGCTACTGTGTCACGCAAAGAAAGCGATTTTTCCTGCAAGATAACCATTATACATATGTAGACGTAAGGAAGAACTGGAAAAATAAATATAGAATGTCAAAGATTTGCAACGTGGGAGTTTATTACTGTCTTGTACAAGAAAACCTCCAGATATATCAGAATTCGGAGAAATCATGTGAGGAGGCTTATCGTTATATTACAATTGTATTGCTTGTATTTTTTTAATGTTGTTATTCACAACATTTTTGGTAATAATAGTTAAAGGTTACTCATAGATAAGCATAGTATAAATACCAATTAGTGAATGAAGATAAGAAACGGAATATTAGGATATAGAAACCTTCATCTGCGTATTTAACATGTCAAATTAAACGTGGCGGAAATAAATGTCAGTTTTTCGTTTTATACACTACACAGAACGAGAGAGTTTAGTAAAGTGCTTCATGGGAAACATCAGTTACAAATCTTTCTGCAATAAACATGGCTCATCGTTGATGGTAAGAATTTCAATAAGTGATTTTTTTATTTTTCTTTTAGGTTTAGCTTTTTATAGCATTGGAATAACTTTTAACACGTTCGATGCCGCATAATAAATTAAGTATAAAAAAATTAAATATACAAGAGGTGCCAAAGAGCATTCACTCTATCCCAAACTTGTATGCCAAAAGAGAAATTAGGCTGTGAAACATTACTGTCTGTTACCTACCAGTGTGTCACGCGGTTCTATAAGCAGTCTTTCTGATGAATGTCTAGGTACTATATTTTATATTTATTTGTATAAAACACCAATAGATAGTCCTGTCTGTATCACTTCTCATAATTGGTGAAAAATGAGGTTTAAAAATAAAAGTAAGAACATCATTAGCCAGGTTCTAGCATGTGCAGTTGGTTTCGTTTGATGGTATCACTGTATAGAACCGCATATTATACAGGTTTCTCTAAAAGATGGAAAATAACATTTGTTTTTTCGTAATCAGAGTGGTTTAAGGACTGAAAATATAATCGGAAGGATGACCATGCCTCAATTTAGTCAAAGTTCATATAATAATATTTTCATATTATAACCTTAGTGGATTTTAAAATTTTATAAATAAATTCGAAAATTGAATTTAATGCAACTAATTATTAACACGTTCGCTGCCATGTGCCACACCGGTGGGTCACAGCCGACATTTAGTTATGGAGCTATTGTTAAGATACACACGATGGTCAGATAATGCATAACTGGACGTGACAACATGAATTGAAATGACTGGGGCTCCAAAATCGTTTCAATTTAACGTACTCAACCCTCTGTAATCTATTTTCACTTGACGTGGTATATTCACTTTCCTGGTGTGTACTTTCAATGTTTTTGTACTATTTCACTTGATAAACCAAGGGAAGCTTTAATACCTTACTATTCATAATAGTGAGCATTTAAGGGTAGATTTAAGTTAATTTAACATAATATTGTTAACAGTAAAGTCAACTGCTGTAGTTTACAAAAATAGCCTATTGATTATTCTTGTGTTTTACAAATAGCTGGATCGAAAAAAGGAATAGATTTGTTATCCATCTGATTGCTCGTTTCTATCCAGATAACTATAAATGAATGAAATATTCCGAAAACACTAGGAGTATACAGACGTATGTATCACCATAAGTGTCATTCCTTTATACTTCTGAAAGTAACTGTAGTGTAATTTCCATCGCAAAAGACTCTGTCACAATGCTGTCGTGTCCAAGGCACACACTCCTCTCTGTTGCTTTCCACATTCCATCTGATGTAGGAGGAAACGATTTCCCAGCACCCACTGCAACAGTCTAATTGCAAAGGAATCCATAGAGACTGTTCACGACTTGACCAGTACATCTTTGCATGGAATACCCATTTCTTTCTCCAGCTGCTTATGGTATGCAATAGTTCAAAGGGATGTATGAATGCCTTGTCTTGGTGAATCCATGCCCTATTGGCCTCTTTTACAGATGAAGATAGATCCTTATTGATTATGTTGTGTTCTTTATTATACTTGTTATGCAACATTACTGTTAGACCTTTTATATGTTTTAACACTGTATTCCTTATCTAGTCCCTTAGAGATTTTCAAGAATTAGAAAAGTGTGCAGTAACAGCATTCCACTATTTTCACTATATCCATTGCCGACGACGCGTTTCACTCAATACAGAGCTCATCAGATCAGTTACGGCACAACAACAACAAACACAGTAGTTGTTGGAATACTATCCATATATACCATTTGCTACAATAACATTTATTATAGTTTGAACACCTTTTCCAAGATGGTGAAGCAGGAATATAAACTACTAATATCATATGACAAGTATAATCAATCATAGTCATAATGAATCTACGTTTCAAATGGACAGCAACTGCCTGTTGTAGAAACCTACAAATGTAGAGGACGACGTTTGTAGGTTTCTACGACAGACAGTTGCTGTCCATTTGAAACGTAGATTCATTATG